CCTGGAATTCGAGGTCCTTGTCCAGAACATCCCAGACTCTGGTATAGTACAAAAGGGTTTCCCCCTTGAGCCGGGCCTACGCCTATTGTTTATGGTCACCCACTGCCTAAAAGACAGAGGCGAAGCAAGGGTCGTACAACTTATCCTTCAGCCGTGCAATATCGTGAAGGAAGAACCATTCACGATATTTTTTTTTCGACACTTGGATGTTGTACGCAACCCCGAAACCATGAGAGGGTAAGCGGATGTGGGAAACACATGAAGCGTCGCCATGACAACAGATCAAGTGAGTACACATGACTGAGCGTTATGATTTTCTTCGTAACTGCATTCTTTTTATGCAAATCTGCGCAGGCCTCAGTGAGACACATTGACTTTTCTGAGTTATGGGTCAGGACGTATGAAAAAGGGACTAGGTTTATTTGTTTGTCTGAGTTAGTTTGTTTTGTTGCATATCACGTGGTTGAGTTAGGATGTCCTAGTCGACCGACGTTGAATCGTACGCGGAAGATCAGCGCCCCAGCGTGACGGTTCGCGTACGGGACCGAGCTAGGCGTGGACCGCGCATACCCCTTATACTACAGCATACGAGAAACGCCCTCGGTTATGTCTCCTCCGCGATTGCAAGTAAAAGTTTTCGCGTGTGGTTCAGTAGCTCGGCGGGGATACGCCCACCTAAGGGATGGTGACAGCTCCCGCGGGTGGAGGCAAGTTGTACCTCGCGAGACCCTGTCCTCTCGTAGGGACTCGATGGAGGTATAGCTGGGCACTCGGCCGGAGCGGCTCCGTCGCTTCCCTTCTTATGAAGCGACTTGCGAATTCTGTCAATCCTGCATGATGGGGCCGGAAAGGTTACCCCATCGGGGACCGTGCACTCGACAACGGGACCCCCTATTTTCATGTCCTTATAAACAGACCAAAAATTGGAACTAGGGTTTGAATATTAAATTTATTTATTTATTTATTTTTTTTTTTGCCTGTTTTTGTTTTGGGTCAAGGTGTAGGTCTACTAAATTAGGTCTTATTTGGAAAATTAAAATTTCCTCGGCTGAGATTTCTGAAATTGAATGTTGGCGAAATTTACATGAAAGTGCATTTTTGGCTCGTTGTTTTATAGTTTTTTTTTTTTTTTTTTAATTATTTTTTTCAATTAGTTAGTATGGTCTCCTCGCTATGAATTGCTGGCAAGTTTGGATAAAATGATTAAGTTCGTGCTCGTTCCCTCCGGCTCTCCGCTCAACTTTCGCCCGCTGTCATTAGTTGCCTCGTAGCCTAGTCTCTTAGTAGATATAAGCAGGCCTCCAGTTTAGTGAGTAGGTAGTTTTCAATTGCGAAGACACAAGTAACTGACATGAAAGTGAAGATGAAAGTGATGTCCATGACAACAGTCAGCGGAAAAACTAAAAGAAGGAAGGCAGAGCAAAGTGATATCTGTGAAAATTCACGTATAAAGATCTCACGAAACTCTGACCTTTATCGCATACGTGCGTCACTAGTACCCCCTGTGTCCTCGTCACTCTCTCTTCCCTGCTTGTAAACACCTCGCGGCCTCGATCTCTCCGTCGCCGCGAGCTAGATTCAGGACCGTCTTCCACCAACGCTGCTGGTGGGTGGTCTCGCAACCATTGATACAGTTTGTGTCAGGACTGCGTCCCGACGTCACTCTTCTCGCTCTCGGACTCTGAGTCGTGGTACAGGTCTTGTTGCTTCCTTTCTGTAGTTTCCATTGAGGTTCCTGTCTCATGGTACGAAATGGTCACCTCGAGATAGGTAGTAAGGTGGTCTCGTCAAAACCTCATTTCCGCTCTGTTCTTGACCTCTACTTCTGATCTCTCCTCATCTTTTTTTTTCGACCACGTTCAATGTTAATTTTCAGTTTCGCGTTATCAACGTTGAAATTTAGGATTGTCGTGATCCAAGGTCCTTCTGCCGACAATTAAGCCTAGCGCACCAGGAGGCAGAAGTCTTCAGGCTTCTGGCCTATAGCCCTCTAACCCCTTTTGGTACGCCAGAACCACTCTTCTTTTTAGGAGAACTCACTTCTAGTGCGACTAACAACTATTCAAACATTCATAAGCTAGAGGTATACCAAACCCAGATGGTCACAACTTGGTGACTTTCCCTCTCCGCACCGCTATCTCGGTTCATAAGGCAACATAACGTACATCCATAGACCAATAGCAGGGTGATTGAACGAGCAACTTTTATAAGACTTGAAACTGTTGTGGTCCCCGTGCTATAAACGAAAGACTTAGAAAACTCTTTAATCTGATAAATATAAGGCTTAAAATATTCCTTAAACTGATAAATAAAATTATAGTGTAATAAATAAAATTCTGATCAAAGTCAAGTATAGCAGTCTAAATTAAAACCCAACAGTCATCAAACATGCGTACTTCTACAAACAGTGGTTGCTGACTTTCCAGCTTAACCTGAAAAGATGGTAAGCTTGGCAAGTTGAGTAATCCCATAATGGGTTACCAAATGGTGAAACCCATCCTTTATAAAAGACAATAGGTTTATTACTAGTAGGGGTATGTATCCCATGGTATGACCACAATTGCAGCTCACCCTTGATGTATTTGACTGCAATTACGTCCAATGAGTGCATTCATTTTGACAATGATGAACACAGGATGCACATGACTGCATGTGATCATAATAGGGAATCAAGAACCTGCAATGAAAGAACGGATAAAAAAAGGGGAAAAAAAAACACGAAAAAAAAATGAAAGGAAAAAATAAGCAGCAACGGAACGACAGAGCTATGCTCGTGTGGGGCCTGTTAGATTCCGCAAGAATATTATGGATCTTAACGAGAATGGAATGATGGGATCATCTGTGAGCTTCTAATATCTTTTGGGGCACACTCACAATAAGACTTATTTCACTTCTCTATGGACGTAATTCCTGTAAGGTGCATTTATGCCAGGTTGGAAAACCGATTACATGAATCTAGGAAAATCGTGGTGTGAGGACGTCGCTCCACTACACTTAAAATGCACAAAAGACAAAAATAATGACAATGTATCTTTTCGTGTTTTAGCGGAAGGCTCACTCTTATTTTACACATTTCGATAGTAGGGGAGTGAGGCCCTATGCATGTCATTAGAATATTAGTTTGACGCAAATTTGACAACTTCGGTACATCGAAAAGCAGAGCATAATTCTAAAAGAGAGTCAAGCTAACAATGAATCCTCCAGGAGCAAAGGGGAGAAAAAAATGGTGAAAAATGTGTAAAGAGGGAGGAGTATGAGAGAACAGTGGGAAGGAGAGGAGAGAAGTAGGAAAAATGAGAGAGAAGAGTGAGGTAGGATGAGAAAGTCGTGGTAGAGGTAAAAAAAATGATTAGATGATGGGGGAGGGGAAAGAAAAGGGGTTGGGGGAGAGTAGGTTAGTCATCAGGTAGGTTATACCGAACTCTTGGGTGACAAAGAGCAAACAAGGGCCTTCAAGGTGGTGGCAGCCTGCTGCTGCAACAGTAGAAAAAATGCTCTTGTTTTTACCTAAATTAGGGCCACTGCAGCAGTAGAAAACAAGGGCCACTGCAGCAGTAGAAAAAATCATCATCATCATCATCATCATCGTCATCTAGGTGTGATGAGATCTTGATCAGCCACCCAGATTCCACTGTAGTGCAGCCCCCTAGCCAGGGGGGTCTTCAAGATCTTCAGCAAGCTGCCACGTGGCACTGCAGATGGCCACGTGTGCAGACAGCAGCAACAACAACCGGAGGGGGGGGGGGGGTGGTAGTAAATAGCTGGCGTGACACTTTTCAACACCAACGTGCCACACTTCCAAAAAATGTATAGAGTTTGGTCACTGGCCACGCACGGGCATGGCTGGCAGCTGCCCATCTTCAAACCCTGGCAGCAGCGTATAAATCGGGAGCGGGGTGTGGCGGGGTAGGGCAGCGGGGCAGCTTGGGTGCGTGGGCCGGCCTTGGCCTTCGCGCATCGCTGCACCTTTTTCTGCTGTTCTGCCTGTCCGTTTCATCCAAAAATGGCCAAAAATCCCGCTGTCGGGATTGCGCCATTTTTCTCGCACTTGCGGGATGGGGTGGGTGGGAGCGGGGACCGTTCTTGCTCTGCTACCAGTGTGACGGTCCGTCAAGATCAAGACGAAGGGATCAGGATTGGGGAGATGGAGATGGAGATCGAGCTGGAAGGAACAGCACAGCTCCAACGCAGTCTCAACACGCATATACTCCAAATCGTGCAAGTGAAGAATGATACCGAAAACAGACTGCAACTGGGGTGTACCCCCAGCCGGCTGACTGGACTGGACTGGACTGGCCTGGTACCGACAGTGGTACCTGGCAGGATTGGACTGGACTGAATGAGAACATGGCCTGTGGGAGGGTCAGGCCATGGCCTGGTCCCACTGGCCGAACAGGCAAAATAGCCAGATAGCCCTGGCTCTAAGCCAGGGCAGCTAGAGGCACCCTGCACATATAGGGGCTCGTTCCACACTCCTCGGGGCGTCCTCGGGGCCCGAGGACGATTCCTTGGAGTCCCCCGAGGAAATTCCCGTCTTCGTTCCACTCATCCTCGGAAATGTTCCCCGAGGACGATTCCTCGGGTGCTCCCGCGGCCAGTTGCATATTTCGACACGCGGACGTGGGGGGGTTGGCGAGGTTGGTCCAGCGGGTTGTGTCCGTGGCGTCGCCCTTGGTCCAGGAGCTGTGGGTGGCGCGAATTCGAATTTACGCGGCGAAAAGAAAAAGGCCACGTAAAAGGCGCGCAGTCTTGGATTCGAATTTCGAAATTCGAATCCCAGTAAGCGAATGACGTTGGCGCGTGTGTCCCTTACGGCTGGTGGCATCAACGTTCGTCGGCAAGACTGTTTCGGTACGGGGTGGCGGCTTCGTGGGGTCTGCTGGCACGCCGAACGTCCATGAATTCGTCCGAAGCAGCACGACCGCCGTCACACGATCGCCAATGTTGTGTGCTTCGCTACGTGCGCCTTCGCCGTCGACGTGCACGCCGTTCAGTCGGGTTTTCACGACGGGCCATCGCTGTTGTTCCCACCGAAGTCGAGCCTTCTTCACTTGGCGAGGACGAGCGATGGACGTGGACGGGGATTCGGTTCATGACGCACTCAGCAAGGCGGAGAGGGCGGCTGTGGCAGCGGCCGTGAACATGATACTCATCAGGTGTCAATTGCAGAGGACGGAGGGGAGGATGAGAGCAGCCATTCGCGTACGCCGGAAGAAGACGCTGCAGTCCATTCATGTGGATGAAGAGGGCAGTGGTGCCATTTGCGACGCTGTCCTTCGGGTGTGCTATGCCATGGGGTGTGGAGCGTTTCCCAGAGCGACGTCGAGGTGGTGGATGAAGCGTCAAACAGGGGGGGCGTGGGAGGATCTGCGGCAATGCGACGACGAGACGGAAGACTACTTCAAGGACAAGATGCGGACGTCGCCACGGGTGTTCCGGGAGATAGCGGAAACTTTGTCTCCCTTCCTTCAACGGCGTGTGACGTTTTATAGGGAGCCCCTCCAGCCTGACCTCATCGTAGCGTTCGCTTTGTACAGATGGGCGTCGGGGGAGACGTAAGAGAGCGGGACGTGCAGCTTCGGCATTGGCAGAAAGTCTGGGTTGGTGGCTGTGCGGGATGTTACGTCGGCGTTGCTGAGTGCGTACAGCGACAAGATATCATGGCCAATGGGGATGCAAAAGGCGGTCGTCTTGCGTGCTTTCGCTGACAAGGGTTTCCCCAACTGCCATGGCTGCATCGATTGTACCCACATCTTCATCGACAAGCCAGCCAATTGCCCCGGAGAGGACTACTACGACAGAAAACATCGTTTCTCCGTCCAGGCTCAGGTGGTCGTCGATCTGAACTTGCGCGTGCTGGATGTGTTCGTCGGATACCCGGGGAACTGCCACGACGTGAGGATCGTCCACCTGTCCAGTTTATGGGCGCGTGCGGAGGCAGGAGAGCTTTTCACTGGGCCACCTTTCATGCTGCCTTTCAGTGTGCGAACGAACGGCTATCTACTGGGCGACAACGGTTACCCCCCGTCGAAATGGGTAGTCGTCCCCTACGGCGGTGTATCGCAGCACCCGTCGGAAATTCGGTTTGACAACAAGCAGAAGACGGCGAGGGGAGCAGTCGAGAGGGCTTTCGGCAGATTGAAGGGGATGTGGAGGTTGTTCCTTCGCTCCCACAAGACGAACATGGACACGTTGCCGCAACAGTTGGTCGCCGTCTGCATTCTCCACAACATACTCATCGACGCGAGCATCCCGTTCGACGACAATCTGCTGTGGGAGGTCGGGCCGGACGGTGTTCGTCGCAGGGTGGACCTTGGGATGCACCGCCCGTCGAGGCAGATGTGCATGGAGTCGTCGACGGGGGATGCGCTGATCCTGCGGGATGCACTGGCGGAGCGAATGGGTACGCAGTGAAGACGAGCGGTCGTCGGGAGCGGGCGGCATGTAAAGAGAGAGAGAGAGAGAGAGAGAGAGAGAGAGAAAGAGAGAGAGAGAGAGAGAGAGAGAGAGAGAGAGAGAGAGAGAGAGAGAATCGATCGCTACTTGTGTCGGTGGGCGTTGGCGTGCATGCGGCGGCTTGTCTGGCGCACTTTAGTTTCTTGTACTTTCGCATTGCGCCGCACTTATGAGGTTTTCGCCGGGTGGGGTTTACGGCGAAGGCACAGTCCATGTCGTCGGCTTAGGGGGTTTCGTGATGCACGTGTGGTTGTAGGTCTTTGCGACGATTTGTAGTGTGGCATCAGTGACGGGTGCGAGTGACGGAGGCCATCTCTGTGTGTGGTTGGGGGGGGGGGGAAGGGTTGAGGCTGGTCGGGATCGAAGTTGCCTTCAAGGCCTGTTACATCGTGACAGCATTAAGATAACATATCTTGTGATTTTTTTTTTGATGTCGTGGAGGTTGTTTTCCGTGTTCGTGTCAAATGACAAGTATTTTGTTAAAGAGAGAGATGCTGTGTGTGTGTCATTTTTATTGCCTTCATCTGTGCTCGCATTTGGAATGGGTTCTGTGAAAATCCATCAATTTGTGATAAAGCATTTGTTGAATCATACATTCGTCACCACTTTCCATGTCGGTGCAGCCCTGACAATCTGTGATAAAGCAAATGAAAAGGGAACGCAAAGGAGTCGACATGAAACTGTAGACATCATCAATAACGAGAGACACAAGAAACGATAACATTGTCCAGACATCGTGAAAAGCAACGAACACAAGAAGCGACAACCTCCTGAAGTAGGGCCGTGATCAATACCAATGACAGGTGTCACATGTTGGTTGTTACAGACGCGAACATCGATTTCTCAAGACCCTAAACAGATAACAAAAGAAAAAAAAAAAGGAAAACCATAACAAAAACATACGATAATTACACACCCCCACGGTGACCTGTCCGCCACGTCGATCAACCATGAACGCACGTCGTCTACCAATCAACGGCATCCAATCCCCCAACATCTCCCCCCCCCTCCCTCCATTCTACCGTCTTTCCCTTATTTACCATCTTCGCCACCGAAAGCTCCTAGGCAACGAAATCGGACTGCAAGCCACGATGTATGTACGGAAAGGGGATGATGGTTGGTCTGCCGTCGAAAAACAAGCCACGGCAGAGCAGCATCACGCGAGGAAAAACTACATAGACGACTAAAAGGCGTCATCGACCAACCCCCC